CGTTAGCGTTGCCTTCCTGCAACCCGAACAAAGTATGAAGAAGGGATTGTCTAAGTAGTTAGGTAGGCAGATAGATAAGCTACAAATTACAGTGTTCATTTTAAAGAAATCGCATGTTTATTTCCAAAAAGTGACTCTTTCTGAAGAGAAGAAGAAAAATCTGGCTAAGATTTCAAATCAATTTCGTTTCCGGACGACAGGAAAGAGCAGCACAACGAAGATGAGACCGACCAACCCGAAGACTACTCAGCCGAAAGTCTGAAAAAGCGTGAAATGAGTGACAGTAATACATTTTTGAACATCTTGCCTTCAACACTTCTCAGTCAACCTTGAAGAAATGCAAAGATGATCTAATGCAAAAATTCTGACCTAATCGTCATTTGCAGGCACAGTTCACACCTTCACAGCACCCTTCAGATCGTAATAGGGTCGGAATAGTTGGTCTTCTTTCGAAGTTACTGATATTTATTGTGTATTTTTTGAGTAATGGCATATCAACTTGAAATAAGCCGAAGTTGAAAGATGGATTAGTGCAAAGCCTTCTTTTCACTATCAAGTGGATCAGAGGAGCTCTGATACAACGAACACGCCACGTTTAGTGGCCCTATTGCTTGAGACGGCACCTAATCCCAGTCTTTACGGACGTGGAGGTCTTTAAACAATAAACCACAATGTTTCGATAGCCAGAGGAGTTGGTGTATCATAAATATGGTCGGATTGTAAAAGGAACTTTGTTCTATAGTTGTCTAAGTACATATGGTATGTGTACTATTATTTACCAAATGTTACCATATCCATCATGCAAACACAGAGCACCAGCATTGTGTAGTGTTTTTAGCAGTTAGCAGCACAAAAAACTATCCGGAAGACTATGACGCTGACAGAGGTCATACCGACCGATCGTAGCGCCGCACGATACTAATGATTTGCATTTGCAAACAACAGGAGGAACCCAGTTTTGCACTTGTCATGTAGCTTCAGTACATGCTTCAGTACAATTATTATGCAGTTCGGAGGAGAAGTCGGTGGACAGGGTATGCTACGGTACAAAGTGCTTTCAGCATTGAATAAAAAATATTACATTTTTAGACAGTTATTGCAGGATTTGCAATCCATCCTTCTTGTATGCGTTTTAAGAAGAGTCTTTTTTTCAAATGGTGCACTATTGTATATAAATGCAAAGCGCCGTTCATGCGTTTTTGCTTAGTATGATTGATTCATAGGGCACGTTTGGCGCAGTAGTTGGAGGTTCCTGCAACACACACGTGGACTCGATCCCCGCTACCGCGGTCCATCAAGCCTTCCATCTCTCCGGGATCAGCAAATTGGTACTAGACCTGTCTGAGAGGAGAGCAGCACTGCCTCGTTACATCGGTGGACCACCACGAGTTATTGTAAAGGTCAGATATGCATTCAATCACCTTCAAACGATGCTTAATGAAATCGAATGCATGGCGCATCTCTCAGGGATTGATTAACGCCTAGAACTCTGAGAGTGTGCGGAAATCCTGTTTTGACAAATTTGATGGTGAAGATAAGAGAGAATGTTCGCGGAGGTTCTTCTGCTAATGACGATGATGAATTGAATGAAGGTCTTTGTAGAAGCTAATAAACGTACAACTGTTCAAAAACATGCAGAAGATATCAATAACCATCTCAACTGTTTTTGGAACATCTAAAACTTGAAATCCGAAGAAGCCCAGTAAATAGAGTCTGTACGAATTGACTGGTCGCTCACTGCGGAACGCATGGGCGGATGTCGCGATATTGACGTCGCAAAGGTGGGACGATCAGGGTTACGAAACTGTGTTATCTACCACACTTGGTGGGCCTCCCACCTACGCTTTACACCTTCTTCACCTATCTGGACTAATTCCTATACTAAAATTATGAAGGACAAAGCTTTCGATAGCTATCAGTCCCTGTGAGACGCACCATGCATTCGATTTCGTCATGTATCGTTAGAGTTGACTGATTATATATCTGGCCTATATTGTGAATTGTGGCCACCGTGCGATGTGTAAGCTCAATACTACATCTTTCCAGACAAGGTTACCACCATTTCGACGACTCCTAAGGGATGAAATCTTGATTAGTCCGAGGCGTCCCATCCAACCATCTACCACGTATGTGTTGCAGGGCACCTTTAAATAATGGGCCTACGCGGGCCCATATAATTTTATAATGTTTAGTATCTGGAGAACTCCTAATTTAGCATATTCCGATTTTCTGCTCACCATAATTTCATCCTTGGTGGTCCATCAAGAGTAACGTAAAACGTTAGAAGATCCCTTGACTGTTTCCATACTTTTCGCCATAAAGTAAAGGGCACGTAGTAGCAAGTAGATTCGGACCTTTAGACAGACTGTTTAGAAGGGATCTTACAGTGAATGATCCGCTGCACCACGAAATCAACGCTCCGAAACATTCATATTCAAAGATGCCAATGGGTTCAGAATGCTTCTTCAGAGGACATTCCTGAAATATTTTACAGTCTTAACCCTTCTATTTACTGCCTTTTTCTTTATAATGGCAGAGTGTGTTTCGAAATATAACTCGTATATAATTCTGAGATATTTGCAATACTCCGGACCGCAGGTGTATGTGGTGGGGAACGAACGTGACCCGGGTCACCGATGGTGTGGTGGTGAAGTGCGCTACTCCCCACTAAGGACAATAGGGCGCGTTCGTTCTCCACCGCATACACCTGCGCTCCGGAGTTTTGCAAATATCTCAGCATTATATACGAGTTATATTTTACAGTCGTCTACAATGATTGTGAAATTGGCCTCGTTTTTCTTCATTATCAACTCTTTCGCTGCTCATAGTTTCACTAGGCCAAGCATTTGCAGCTTAGAAAAAGTCGTGCGCCTAGAAAAATGTGTTCAGCGTTTGGCAAATTATGAAAACATGAAGCAGTGAGATGCTTCGAGCTTTGTCTCAAGGAAAAAACGCAAGCTTTCGGCGCAGTTGAGAATAAGGTAGAAAGTAGCTCTCACCCCAATTTATACTAATTTCCAACTATGATATGAACTTAGGGTAGAAAGCACCCTACCGCACTCCAGCGATATCCTTCTATGAAATGATTAACATAGCTTTCGAATAGTTAATATGAATAGGAAGTGCCTTATGTTTAACTTCATTCAGTGCATGGTGGAGATGATTGAATGTATATTTGGCCTATACCATGTTTTTTATGAACCCCAAGTATAATAATAGTGCTTTCTATCTTCGCCGACAAGTTTGCTACTAATCATCCGTCTCTGAAGTGACGGGAGATTTCATTTGCCAGTAATGCGGTATCGAACAAACGACTACTTTTGTAATCCTTTGGAGCACCGCTAACTACTGTGCCACAAGTTGTATAATTTACTGCCGTCACAAGCATCTCTTCCGTTCTGGAGAAATCTGAGTCCGAAAGACAGCAGACATGCGTTTGTTTCAAAGCGAAATCTCCTAATGAAGACGTGAAAACGCTCATGTGAGGCTATCAGTGGATTTAAGGAAAATCACTCACACTCGGCCAGCACTCAGCATGAAGGGAGTGAAACAGACTCTCAAGTTGAAGCGACTCGCACCCGAACTTACCGACTACGTGCGTGACCATTAGAAGACTACGAAACGAACAGTAAACGTGTTCAAGAATGGTCATTTAGGTAACAAGGGTTTTATATGTCTTCCAGTGAGATATTGCTGGCCTCCGCATTCAAAGATGAGTATTCAAATAGTTATACTTCATCGCCGTTCATATTTTCTACTTATGGCTGTGTTTGCCAGTTATAATTCAAATGGATTTCCTGTGATAATATGTAGAGCCTTCCCACGGTTATGTGAAATATAAGCACAATAATGCTGAGATATTGACAAAACTTCGGACCGCAGGTGTCTGCAGCACAAATCGGCAAAGGCCGTTCATTCTCCACCGCAGACACCTGCGGTTCGGAGCTTTGCAAATATCTCAGTATCATTTTCTTCATATTCATATTTTCTTCATAAGATTCGACGATCGTAGAGGACAAGTAGCTGAAGAAGAACAGGACAAGTAGTGTTCTGTTTCCGTACCGGAACATCCAGGTACCTGTTCGCAACGAGATGGGACAGGACGACCAATCACGAGAACGAGATGTCGAAGGTCAGTTGATAACCCTTTTCACTTGTTCACCGAAAATCCCGTTTGTTCATCACTTTTCACTTTCGCACAAACCGAACTTCTCACTTACCTTCTTCGTCGTTTATCCCATTTCCTTCGTCCTCATTTTAAAGCGAGTTCTGTTTATCGGAAAGTTGAGATGAGTTCCTGTTATTCGAAAAATTCGATTAGTTTCGGAATGGTATACCGTACTTGTGTATTTATTCCTGATATTCATGAAATCTTCCCACAAAACAGTTAAGTACTTATTGCCGTCTAAATTGGAACAATTTCACAAACATGATTAACGTTAATTACTTGTGGCACGTAGCTTTTCTCGCCGAGTTGCGTGTGCTGAACCTTTGTCCAAAGAAGGGTGTTGCTTCGAAAATTATTACGTTATGGAGAAAAGCAATTCTCGGACCACTTTTCGAATATGCACTCTATAGACGTCGTGCCGGCCACAATGATTTTTCCCTCTTCTACAAATGTCTACTAAAGAAAACTTTCAACTCATTACGAGTAGATTGATTCAAAGGACCTTCTAGAATTATCGAAAGAAGCCTAAGAGTGAACTAAAGGTGTTTATAACAGGTATATAACTGCTACAAATAAGAGAACTCTAATCATGTGAACAACTTCCTGTGGATATTTAAAACGTTGGTATTTTACTGTGTTGTATATTTACCACTGACAATTTTAGGATGCATTGTTAAGCTTCGTTCATTATCTTCAAGCTGTTCTTTCTCCACTTTTGTGATTTTTTGACGAAGAAGAAGAAACTTTCAGTTAAATTTTTTTACGATATAAATAAAACCTATACCTGGCCTTTAAGCTCAAATGAAAGCTCTTCAGGGTCAGAGCAAATACCATGGTGCTACCATTGCTACTATTCCTTCCGTTCGTCGTCGCTGAGCCTTTCGTCTATGTTTATCCGGTAAATCCGAAACTTCATCCTCGAAATCTTTATCCGATTCAGAGAAGTCTGAGGTAAAATCACTTTCTTTCATAATTTTGAGGAAGCCGAATAATAAAAAATAAAATAATTAATAGTTTCGGAAAAACAAAATGAAGCGATCTACATAAAGTTTTCCTTCTAGGTTAAAAACCGTATTTTGCAGAGGTGTCGAGAAGATTCGAGATTTGCCGCGATCTGGAATTGTATATTTGAATCGTATCAAACCAATTAGTGAAGAATTTAAAGGTGCGCTAGTTAAGGAATGCAAAAAAATCCTATGAAATAAAAAGAAAACTAGAAAATAATCGCCTATGTTTAGAGCTCGATAAGACTAGTCCTTGAAGAAGCGATCGCCGTGGTCGCCTCCTTAAATGAACCTCCAACACTTTTGTAGTTAACAGTTTTGTTAGAACAAAACAGAGAAAGGTTATTGAGTAAGTCTTGAATGAAGATGGTGTCGAATGCCTAGGTAGTATAAAGGGATTGGCTTGCCCAATACACGGTGTTGAACCAAAGACTCTGTGTGCACTGTAAGGCACCCCTAACCACTGTGCTACACACTCGTAATATAATGATCTAGCCTGGTAAATATCAGTACAGAAGGGAGAAAAACGGAAAGATAGAAATGTTTCTTTTAGGTGTCATCGTCCATGGGAACAGCACATTCGTAAAAAGTGAAACATCAGGTCCTCTTGCACAGTTGCAAGCCAGAAACAATGATGTAAGCTTTCTCTCATAATATTCAAAAAAACGTTTAATTGAAGTCGAATTAGTTAAGGTCCACTGATTTAGGCATGGACCCGCTCGTGTGAATAAACGAATTAATCGGGAAATTTTTTAAACTGCATTCCAGACATTGGACGAATATACTGATAACCGTCCGTTCATCAACATGACTTCTATTGATTTTGACGATGCCGTCACTGTTGACGAGACCTCAACAGGACGACCATTTTCAACGCCGCCACCGATGAGAACCACTATCGCCTCGGATCCTAGGCTGAAATCTACCGTAATCCCTTTGCCTAGCACCAAATCTGTGAAAAATCTATTGGTAAGTTGTAGATCTTTGAGAAATCTGTTGTCTTTATTTTAAGATTTGAGGCCATGAATGTGAATGTTCAAAATTTAAAGAAACGAAAGGTTTGTCAACGAAAACACCGAGAGGAAAAGAACTCCAACCACAAATTGTTGGCTAATATAGGATGCCTGGGAGCATGCGTAGCGCGGTGGTTAGAAGTGTCTTGTGTGTAATACACATAGGATCGATCACGCGCTCCAGGTTCACCAAGACTTCTATCCCTCTGGGTTCGGAAAATTGGTAGTAGACTTGTATGGGAGGATATCAGCAATCGATACATCGGTAGGCCATCACGACTCGTTGTAAAGGGCACATATGCATTAAATCACCTCCAACCATTTTTAATGAAATCGAATACATGGCGCGTCTCTCAGGGATTGATGAACGACGAGAGCTTTATTCTTATTCAGAGGATGTTTAGAAAAAGTGGTTATTTTCGAGTGCACAGTGATAGAGAACTTCTCAACAACTGAAAAGAAAATCATTTAAAGAGAGAAGAACAAATCTTTTCAGAAATTAACGCTAACTAAGTCGTCGAAGAAAGAAGAACACGACTCGTCAGAAGAAGCTAGGCCGAATCTGATGCATTTGATCAACTACATCAGAACGAAGAATAAGGTTATCAACGGGGACATTTTGCTTTAAATAATCTGTAGATACCTCAGAATTGTGGATTTTAATTAAGTTGTTTCTGCTTTCACATTAATTGATCACATTTATAGGTGAATTTCATTGAAAAGGACCCGAAAGTGGAAACGATCAAAATGCCAGAGGTGAGCTTTTTCATCCGTCGTTTAGAAAGCTCCGTTGCGTTGTTACACAAAAATGTGCTAAAAACAGTTAGGAAGTAATATATAATTTTCTCATATCGTTTTTAGTTACACATCGAATAGAAGGACAAAATGACCATATTTTTTTCGATAAAAATGAATCAAATCAGTTGGTTTATCATTCAGCTCAACCAACGTCACCGGGTGGCTGAAACGCTTCATCATGGTGGCATGCGTAGAGCCAAATTGGTTTCATTGAGCCGAACTGCTACTTTACATACAGGTTAGACAAGGAACAACCGATAAAAAAAATGAAAAGAAGGAAGTGTTAAAAAATGCCAAAGAGGCACAAAAAGAAATTTCTTCTCATTTTGTTGCTAGAAGTGTGCGTATAGCGCAGTGGTTAGAAGCTCGCTGCTATGGATATCGTACCGGTAGCTAATTCGATCTTGTGCACCGGGTTGATCAAATTCATACTTTCACGGGTTTGGTTTATGTTCCACAGACTTGTATAGGAAGATAGCAGAACTAATTTAGTGCATGAGTAGACCACCACAAGTCATAGGAAAGGACAGGCACGAATTCAGTCACCTATAACGATACTTAATCAAGCCGAGTGCTTGGTGCATCCCTTAAAGATTTTTTTACTCTACACAACGAGTCTTTCACATCCACTGTTCGGATCCAAGCACTTCTCACATTCGATTCGTTTCTTCGCATTTCGTATTCACAAAGATCTTCCTACTTCCTAGCTGTCACCACGGATGCTGCTTGAGGATTTTCCTTTCGCCATGAATGTCATTGAGTTCGAGTCGATTGTCCTTTAAATCGTTGGACAACCGTGCTAGAGTCCTTACTTGAATTGCAGAGAGTGATTCTTTCCTGGACAAGTTCGGCACCAATTCTCCAACCCGGGAAGGATGAAGGGCCTGGTTGGCCAGGGGCGGAATCGACCCGGCACCATACTTGTGATGATCGCCATAACTACCACTGTGCTATCCGTTCCCTCCCCCAAGAATTGACCAGTGCCAAGAGCCCTATTTCCTTATTCGTTATTTCATGATGAGATTGCTTTTTTTTTGAATTCACTCCTCTGGACTAAGTGCTAGTTCTGCTCATTAAGTTGCGTTTCGTGCACTATTTCAGTGGCGTCATCACATTTTTGATATTAGTGTTACTGTTTTAACTTATCATTTACTGCCTACTCTTTTCAATGGCAGGATATGTTGCGAAATATAACCTCAATGATGCTGAGATATTTTCTTCGTATTTTTGTTGAGCAAACGCGAGGTGTTACTATTCTTTGTTCACGATTAAGCTGTCGTTTCGGCGGATTTCGCCTTCTTCAGAGCCTGGAAAGGTCAAGTTGATAGCAACTCACTCGGCCAGACGCCTCCATAACCAAACAAAGAAACTCCAAACCAAGATTTCAATCACTTTGAACACAGCTTTGCACACTCACCGCTTACTATGAGGCTTCCACTAAGTATGTCACGTAGAGACATTTTTATAGCACCATTTCCCCCAACGTTCTTTAGACAGCAAGAGCCCAATAATGAAGTTGATGTTAAATTTCGGATGTTTGCGAATGAAACTCTCAAAGCCCTTAACCACTATCGCGCGAAAAGATACAGCTCAAACCTCACTCCAGTGCAAAAACGTGGTATGGGAGAGGTACGAGACCTGATAAGGTTGAAAACCATAAGACTTTCCGTTAGTGATAAGGGTGGAGAGTTTGTCGTAATTCCT